CCCAGACACTGAACGTTTTAGGGAAGAATGCTTCTTCTCATTTCATTTTCAAACACTTAAAATGAAACGAGAAAAATTTTGACGTAGACATGGCTAACCCACATCAGATCTAAGAGGCAGACAGTGTTTGATGGGAGGCGTTTGGGAGGAAGAGATTTCCTTTCACCTGTCAGCCACACTGGGTATTTGAGTTTTTCATTAAATTGAAAATTGAAACATTCAGCTGGAAAAGTTTAATCAGGGAGGGACGCTGCAGTATCTGAACATCTCTTCATCGCATGTATGAAAAATAATCTCTCTGCATTGAACTCCTAACATCCACCTGGTCAGCAAATGGAAAGACTGTGTACAGGTGTACGAGAAACAGTAAATGGTTTTTAAATAATCTGCTTGTTTAGTGAGCGGACAAAACCAGCCAAACCAAATGGTTACTGAAAGCTGGAGTAAGTTATTGTGTTACACTCACTCAAAAAATTATTATATATTTTTACCCCTCAGTAAACATGTGAGTAAAATGCAACTGAAATATATAATATCAAAGTTTATTTATTCCAGTAATTAATCATTAAAGTTTATTTGATATAAACTGACTGCACACGAGTCAAGGAAATTTATTTTACCACGATTCATTCAAAGGAAATTTTTTCTCAGTACTTTTACATGTAATTAAATTACCAAAAGCCAGGGTTTTGGGCAGATTTTTTTGTGCTGTGGCCTAAATCACCCTGATATATTAGAATTAGAGAAAGACCTGAACTGTTTTAGCAAACATCTGAGCTTTTTTTGACGCATGTGAGACAGAGTGAATATTTCCTGTTTTGCAAAATGAATATATTTAATAATAAAAATTAATTATCCGGGTTAGTCTTCGGATTTTGGTCGTGTTGTGTCTAACGGCGACTGAGACCTCAGGGGGTTCATTTAGGCCTGTGATGGAGCCCCGGTGGTCCCTGAGCATGGCTTTGAGAAACCCCCCATGTTTGCAAGCGGCTCAGTAATGGAGCGCAGTGGCCTGAAGTCTGTCCTAATGACTGTAACACATGTGCGTCTGGCTCTCAGCCCTCTCATTAACGTCACTGGACACTGTATACTCTGACTGTGTGTGGATGATCTCATCTCCTCTCAGAGTGCTCCGCCCGTGGCTGTGGATGTGTCTGTATTTACGTGCGCACCCACTCACGGCACTGGTGCGGACGCTGTGTCGAGGAGGCCGCTCGTACCCGGAGACAGCGATCGCGTCTCCTGCAGGAGCTCCATTCATGTTTTAATGTTTTTCTCAGTGTTCCACTCCACAGTGAAAGGAAACAGAAATGTTTCTGTTTCCTTTTGTTTTGCTTACAGATGTTGAAGCTCCACTTTATGAATATGTGTGTGTGTGTGTGTGTGTGTGTGTGTGTGTGTGTGTGTGTGTGTGTGTGTGTGTGGTAAACAGGGTGGCTTGCTCTGTGGAAGAAGGAATTTCCCCCAGCAGTCCCCATCAGTAATAGTGCCTGTAATGAGCTGCAGCTGTCAGCCTGGTTTCTGCACACACACACACTTCCACAGAAAACACACACTCGCAGTGAGGAGGAAGCAGTGAGTCACTCAGCGGTGCGCCGTCTTACTGTACGCTGATAAAAACAAAGTCATCAGACACACAAACACTTCCTGAGAAATACCTGCAGCCAAAAATATCCTCACCGCACTGCCGTAAAAACACACATTTTCCTGCCTGTTCTCCATTGTGTGTGTTTGTGTGTTAAATGTTTTAACGTCGCTTCATTTTTTTTACCTTTTAGCGTGAGCGTTAGAGGAGTCAGAGTGACGGCTCGGCGGCTGCAAGGACACAAAGAAACGCTTCAGATGATTTTCCTCCTCTAACGATCCTCGTGCAGCGAGCAGATTCTCATTTCACTAAATTTTTAATTCTCCGTCCTGCCAGAAAAAAACCCAGCACAGCTGACTGAAACGTGCTCTGAAGCAAGGACGCGTCTCTGCTCGGCCGACAGGAAATCTGAATGAACGCGTCCCGTCCTCTCTGAGTTTCAATCGAGTCCAGTTTATCCAGTTTGATTTTTTTAAAAACAAGTCAAAATTTGAAAAAAAAAAACAAATGCACCTCTGCCACCAATAAACCAGAGACAAACAACGAACAATATCACTTTTAAATATTTGTTAATATGAAAATACAGTTTTTCTCTCATATGTCTGGCAAGCAGGAGGCTGAGACTGGTGGTGTATTTTTCTGACTGGTTTCCAGTTAGAGCAGGGAGAGAATCCCGGGAACACAGATCCATATGACACGAGCAGTAACCTCTGACCCCTGTCCACGACTGAGAGGGACACCCAGCTTCATCCTCAAGACCTGCTGCCTCATTTTTATCACTTTTCTTTGCATTCATAAAAATTCATGTTCCTGGGGGAGGAACCCTCCGCCCAGCAGCAGTTGTGAAGCTGAGATGTGGAACGGCGAGGAGCTTTTAAAAGCTGCCGAGGGGTTTAACAAGTTCCCAGTTTGTTTCTGATCAGGTCTGTTAGAAAAAGCCTCTCTGAGCGCCGCTCGAGCATGCTTCCCCCGATCGTGGGGAGCATTTTTTCTGTTCTCAATGGCGAGTTCACAGTTTGGATTTGTGGGGAATCATCTGAAGGCTTCAGCCTGACCTGCACCCTCCCCCCAACAAACCAACATAAAGATGATGAAGACGATGAAGACAACGATAAAACTTCGAGCGGCGACTTTGTGTTCCCGCTGAGCCTCGGCTCGGTTTGCGACCTACCCGGCCCTCCGTCTGTGACCTCTGCCGGGTTTTATCTGGTTCCAGTCGAACGTTGGAGATCAGACTTTAATTTTGAAGGCGCAGCGCGGGACAGTGATGAATAGGCTGCATCAAGGAGGGCTTAAATTACCCCACTCCCTGGTGGCAGCACTGACCAGAGGAGAGCAGAGGGGTGTGTGCGTGTGTGTGTGGTGACCTAATAACAGCAGACAGAGAAAGAAAGAGGGCTGGTCAGCACTTGCCCCCTCAACCCTGCTAGCTCCGCAACTCACCCACAGAGGAAGAGGAGGAGTGAGGACAGTGTGGGTGGGGGTGTCTGTGTGTGTGTGTGTGTGTGGGGGGGGGGGGGGGGGGCTACCTGCCCCTTCAGCTCCTTCTGTGGGAGTTAGGGAGCTCTCAGGTGGAGAGCCTGTCCTGTTTTGGTTTCATGCAAATGTGATTTTTTTCTCTTCTCTGTAAAATAAAAGCACAAGCTTGCCAGGTTTCTTTTTTTTGTCTTTTATTTTGGAGGCGGCGGCCGAGACGGTGGGATGAAGCAGCTGGTCTCAGACTGCGAGGGGCCTGCAGAGATTATTGGTCTCATTTTTAGGAACAGATAACGAGAGAAATTCCATCTGTGCTGAATTTAAGTTTCCTGATTTTTAACCATTTTACTGGAAAAATGTTTGCAAATGGATCTACCAGAAACTGATCAGTTTACTAGAAGATCATTAATAAACTGATCAATTTGATTTCTGTGTGAACATTAAAATTATTTTCAGTCTTTAAAAATATCAACAAACTGTGTTTGAGTCATTTTAAACTGTGAATACTAAAAAACTGCTGAGAGTTTTGATTTTGGATGTCAGTTTAAGTGAGCTCAGAGCTCCGTGAACACTTTCGTCCGTTGTTTTTATTCATGTATCATTTTCACCCAGCTCACAAATCTGTGTGTGTGTGTGTGTGTGTGTGTGTGTGTGTGTGTGTGTGTGTGTGTGTGTGTGTGTGTGTGTGTGTGTGTGTGTGCGCGCGTGAATTAACAAAACAAACCCATAAAAACGTCACCTCCATCAGTGACCCCGGACAGGTTTCTGAGTTTTTGCGTTGTTTTAAAAAAAGAACAAACTGGAATCTGCGCAAAAACTGCGTAAAATCCGACCCGTACACACACGCGCACGCAGTAAGGCGTGTGTGTCGGTTTTCCCCGCATGCTTAAAAAACCATTAAAAAACTTTTCTGTCTCTAACTTTGAAAATCATTTCCTGTTTTCCAAATAACTGCGGATGTTCCGCACATTTATGCCGCATTTTTTCAGAATAAATCTGTCACGTGCACGCGCAGCAGAAAAGGCTGCGGACATCTGACGTTTCCTCACAGATGAACCCGCCGCGATACATGTCCTCACCCCCCCTCCACAACAACAATAGTAATGATTATTATCATTATTATTATTATAGTTATAATTATTATCATTAATATATTTAATAATAACTATTATTCTAATAATAATTATTATTATATCAATAATTATAATTATTTTATACTGACATTATTACTAATATTATGAATAATTTTAGTATAACAATAATTATTGTGATTGTTTGTATTATTGTAATATGTAATTAATATTATTCTTTTTTTTTGTTGTTGTAGAGAGAGGAGCAGGCAGGCGGCTGTGCGGCGCGCGCTGATGTTTTCACGTGAAACAAAAAGTTTAAACCAAATTAAAAATAAATAAAAGTCCAAATTTAAATGAAGCTGCTGAGAAACTTTAAAATCAGAAGAAAAACAATCTGAAAAAATTACTTTGATTTCAACATCTCACACACACACACAGTGCACAGAATCAGCTAACATCTGTGTGCACATCTGCCGCAGTTTGACTTGCAGACTAAAAGTACCTTTAAAAGTGTTAAGGCTACGCTTTCTACAAACACACAGCTGATCGGAGTAATCAGATTACTCTCAAACATGTGAAATATCTTTGAATAAAATCTAAAAATGTGTTTGTTCGCTTTCAGTTTGGTCACGTGAGGGTTAAACTTTGTTTCCCTCATAAACACGCGCGTGTTTAGTGAGTGTGTGCGTGTGTGTGTGTCCTCTCCGCGTGGCTCCGTGTTTCTCTGATTCACAGAAGAAGAAACGCAGCTTTGATTTCCCAAAGTGGACCGTGTCAGTCAGCGCGTGCGCGTAGTGGGAGTGGTGCGTGTGTGTGTGTGTGTGTGTGTGTGTGTGTGTGTGTGTGTGACACTGATGGATGCGCCAATGGAGAGACGGACAGATGCTGGGGCGGATCTAACGGAGCAGCAGCAGCTCGCGCTCAGTCCGACACACACTCGGAGCGCGAGCCGCGGAGAGCGCGCGGGCACACACGGGACACTCACCGGGTCTGCGCGAAGATCCGAGCGCCGGAAAACCTCCTCCTCCAAACTTTGCTCTCGTCCGCGAGCGGCTCCGCGCCTCCTCACCGTGGCCTCACCTGAGGGAGCTCACCTGCGCGCGGACACGGCTCCTTGTTCTAGCAGGAGCGCAGAGGGAGGCGCTCCTGGGCAGAAGGAGCAAGTCTCAACGGCAGCCCGAGCCTCCTCCTCCTCATGCACATTATTGAAAGCAGGGAGATCCAATCAAGCACGCATCTCATCGATTCACGCGCACACGGTGAGTGAGGGACTTGTCTTCAGCGGATTTTTCAAAGCGGACAAACACCTCCTCCGGTCCTCCGCTCCACCGCTCCCGGTGCAGAAGCAGTTTTCTCTGGATGTTTGTTCCCGCTCTGAAGAAGTGCGCGTGATCACCGGGAGGCACGCGGCGAAGTCCCAGCCCGCAAAGTAAGTGTGTGTGTGTGTGTGTGTGTGTGTGTGTGAGAGAGAGAGAGAGAGAGAGAGAGGGAGAGAGGAGGTCGGGAGGAGGGAGCTACGTGACGCCGCTCAGCGCGGAGCTTGAACCGGAGACGAAGCGCCGCTCAGTGCGCGCGCGGCAGGTTTGCGGACTTTGACTGACGCAGTCCTCCGGTCTGTCCTCCGGTTTTGTCCCCGCAGCTCGCCTGTTGCAGCTCGGACTCATCGGCGACTCAAGAGGCGGAGCTGCTCCTCCTGCTGCTGCCGGAGCGGCGCGCCGAGGCTCGGCCACGGACCGGGACTCCCGCCGGTCTTCCGTCACCTCTTTAAATCTCCTTTCTGCAGTTTTTGCCCCCCCCCCCCCCCCCCGCTCCCCACGCACCCTCCCCGCTCTATGCGGGAGTCCTGAGAGCAGCGGGGGGGCACATTGCCGGAGCTCCGCGGAGCCCCCGGGCTGCCTCGGATCAGCGCCGACTCAGAGCGACTCTCCGCCGGACTCCTGAGCCGACATGCCGCGGAGGAAGCAGCAAGCGCCGCGGCGCGCCGCAGGTAAGCCCCGCTGTTTGCCCCCCTCCGCTAAGCAGCTACTTTTCATTAATATTTCCCCACTCTCTCACACACACTCGTTCTCTCACACACACACTCCAAACACAAACACACACACTGTCATACACACACACTCTCACACACACGCGCTCTCACGCACACACAGCATCTCTAGTTAAAAACAGACAGCTGGATTTATTTTTCAGATTTTTACCGTTTTAACCCAACGTGTGTTTGGAGTGTGTGAGAGTTTATTTTGAGTAAAATATTTTTATTTTGACACACACACACACACACACACACACACACACACACACACACACACCTGTAGGCTGCATGTTTGATGAAGTGAATTTTCAGAATAAACCTTCAGCTCTTCACACATGTGACCATCAGCTTCCAGCAGAGGTCAAAGGTCAGTATGAGCTCTAGGAAAAGGTTTGGTCGGGCTCAGTGTGGACCCAGCACCTTGGGTCTGCCGACTCCAATGGGTTTTTTGAGGATTACCAAATAACCGACAGAAAACAAAGTCAGATTTATCTTGTTCTTTTTAGTTGATGGATTTTTAAAACATTTTTCTCATTTTTAGTGTCGTCATATTTCTGAGTTTCTCGTTGTTCCTCCGGCCGTCGATTTATCCTCGATAATCGGGGGCCGGTCATTCCCGGCCCTCAGATTTTTCCACCTCTGTTTTCTTTCCCTCCTCTTTCAGTTTCTGGGAAAGACTTCTCTCCCCAAGTAAAGATTAGTTCACGGGCTGCAGAGCGAGGAGGGAGTGATGCTGGAAAAGAGCTTAATGGACAGTCGCCATCTTTGATTTGACGCCTGATTGATCACCCGTCACCCGACCGGGCATTTGATCTGTTCATTCCCAATAATCTCCTCCTCCTCCCCCCAGTCACGTCGACCTCACAAACTTCAGCGCTCACCTCGTTCTGTTGTTAGCGCTCAGCTTAACATCTTGCTGAATCACAGATCATTTTACGATGACCTTTAACCTTTGGTGTTTGGCTTTAACTGGAGGATTGCTGAGCGCGCACACACACTGTGGTGTTACAGATGTGAGGCTTTGCTTCATATTTGATTCAATCGTCTGAACGCTGACAGCCACATTCATCAGAGGCTCTTATGGTCAATCAGTGCTGGGGGGTGGGGGGGTAATGGACATGCCGGGAGGGGTTAAAACCGCGGATGGATGCAGAAGCTAAACGATGGATTTCTTTCTTGAGAATAAACGTGCCTGCTGAAGGAGGAGCTTCATTTCAAACTAGCAGCCACGTCCTATTTTTTCTCCTCCTCTCCTCTCCTCCTCTCCTCGTCCTGCAGCTGCGAGCTGAGCGGTTTTGGAAGATTGAGTTTGAGAGGGTGATGTCAAACTGGTTGCCGTGTGGTGACAGAGTTCTGGGAGGATGATTCGGAGTTTTGGGCCGAGGAGCCTGCTTTTCCTTCGGCGTGTTCCGCCGTGACGCTGATCTGTTCCCTGAGCAGCACGTGTGCTCAGGACACGCTTGTCTGAGGTGAAAGTTTGGTCGTGCACGCCACAGCAAGCTCACAGCACGCGCTCCACATGCGCAGACTGTTTTTACTGGACGCCATGTTTCTCATCTAAAAGCACATTTGTGTGTTTCCGTGTCAGTGTGAGGATGTTCAGAGGATTGTTCCTGCAGGCCAGGGCGGCGCGGTGGCGCAGCAGTTAGCGGCGTGGCCTCACAGTGAGGAGGTGAATCTGATGCTCCTTCTCTCACTCACATTTTCTCTTTGTAACCAAACCTTGCCGTTTTCTTGGCGTTTACATTTTTGAGTCTCTGCTGAGCTCTTCTGAACATTAGACCTGTTTCTTCTCCCCTTCACCACCCGACACACACACACACACGCTTCCTGCCGTGGTGACGGAGCGCGCTCAGCTGTCTTAAGAGGAGTTGTTTTGCCAGCTTCATTAGCGTTGTGCTAATTAGCCGAGCAGCTGATGGATCTGTGACAGGCCTAATGATTGGAGATGACAAGCTCCGCACATTGTCACGCTCGCCAATTAGCTCTCCACCATCGCTGGATTTAATCAACATGATCGTACGCCGTCCTCGTTTGCCTCCCGTCCACCCCGCCGCCGGTGAGGGTTCATTCGAGGTGACCGTCCTGAGCAGGAGGCTTTATTTTTTCCGAGCTCGTGACATCAGCGGGCTTTTGTCCCCAAGCTTCAAAGTCACACTTCATTGTTCTCACACAGGAAGTTCCACCATCAAACAGCACAGCGCCGTTATTTATCCCCAAACAAAAAAACGCCATCATCAGTGAGGCGCCTGCACGTCTTACATTTGAATTACAAGTCCTCACACACACACACACACACTCGTGTGAGGACAACAAGTCTTAGTTCATAGGAGTGTGTGTGCGTGAGTGTGTCATTGTCTCCGTGATGTAACGAGATCCATCGTTAAAGTTCAGCTGGTTGAGTTTGTTTAAAGTTTTAATGATTATCTTCCAAACTGCAGCTTTTCATCATAATTCGGTAAAATCAGGTGACGATGAGGCTGAAGATCATGTGACTCGTGATGTTATGGGTGAGCTGATCACTGTGAGGCTCAAACGGAGGGAAGGTTGGCGCTTTTCTCGGTGTGCGACGTCTTTCAGTAGAAACGATTCAGAGACTTTTTGAGCTCCAAAAGTCACGTCAAGGTTTGTCAGATGATCTTTGAGCTCTGGTTAGTCGTAGAAACATGCCACTCGTCTCTGATTTATTTCACCTGTTAGTGAACAGCACACACACGCACACAGACGCACACACAGACACACACACATGGCTGCTGAAGACGCTCAGGTATCAGAGGTCGGCATTTTTCCTCGGGTTAAGGCGATGTTCACGAAGAACCCCGCGCCGTTTTCGTGCCCATGCGCTCAGCTGCTGCATGTTCGGTCGCCGGTGAACCAACACGGGCCACACGCACGTTTTCCCTTCAAACGAAGCTGCTCCGGGTCTCTTCATCTCTGGAACCGCTGATGACTGTTTTCTTCTTTTGACTTTGTTAAAATTAGATTTTAAGCAAAAAAATTGAAAATGCCAGACGTATACCACGACTCGGATGTTCGGCGTCCTCGACGGCTCGGCGGACGACTGCAGCAGTTAGAATAATAAAGTGTTGCGTTCTCAAACACAAACTGTTGAGCTGGTTTTTTGCAGGTCTTAGAAAACAATGTGAGGAAGGAAGCCTGTCTCCAGCCGAGCGGCACTTTCCTGATGTCACAGAGTTAAAGTGGGAGTGGCTTCCACCGCCTGCTCCAACATGGCCGATCTGCAGCAGCTTCAAAAAAGGCCGTAAAAGGATTTTTAAGAAAACACGATCTGATCACGAACCAGCGTTATTCTGGTGACTCGATATCTGAGGGTCTTTTTCACGTCCGGCCTGCCCTAATCAGGCGGTAACCACGGTAACAATGCTACAAACTGCTACATATGGACATTTGATCGCTGTTTCACAGTCGTTACGATGTTTCCACGTCATTATTTGTTTGACTCGCACACTGTGATTGGTTCCTTAAAGCTGTGATATTATTGGTTCCCCAGCCTGCAGGGCGCTCACTCGTACGTAACCTCGTCTACAAACCGTTCGATTCAAATCTCAACAACAGTCACCTGAAGGTGTTTATAAAGTAAAGACCTGGCAATCAGAAATGGGAAGCAAAGAGACATCCATCAGAACAAGGATCATGGGAATCCCCCGGCAGCCTACGTCTATTGCAGCATAACTAAGGGAGGATTCAGGGTCACCTGGTCCAGCCCTAACTATATGCTTTAGCAAAAAGGAAAGTTTCAATCTTAAAGGCAGAGATAGTGTCTGTCTTATGGTGAATGTGAGTGGATCTCAGCTGAGAGGACACATCTGAAACCAAACAGGAAGTGTCACCATCGTGACACCATCAGTTTCAGGCGGAGAACTTAGAAGTATACCTGAAAAATAAAAAGCACATTTCCGGAAAAATAAGGAAATGATGTGTTGTGCACAAAGAGAAGGACCCAAAGCAAAGCAGGTTTGGTGTTTTTGTGGTTCTCAGACTCAGAGACGTAGCCCTAAAATTTGATCTTTATCTGGAGTAAATATATGAGGTCAGATGAGCTGTGAGGTCAGAGACCGGAATACGCCACGGTCTCTGAAGCTCGTTCAGCGTGAGGCTGGAACACCAAGGCCGTCGTCTGTGACCCGCTGCGGTTAAACTCGGCCCCTTAATGAAGCGTTTGAAGCTGGCGGATGCTGTGATTGTACCGTAGTTAAATATTGGATCACAAGGACGGACAGGAAGCCATTGACACTGTAAAGCAGATTATGCGCACAGGCGGGAGGAAGCAGAAAGGAACGAAGAAGCCGGCGAGCAGACAAACGACAGTCACGGGGGGTCCCCCCCATTCCTCCAGGATAAGTGGCTGATGGTTTCTAAACAGTGTTTCTTCTCCTTCTCTCTCACAATCCTCCGTCACGGCTCCCATTAGGTTGACAGCTGTCAATTAGCCTCCCTTGGTCTGGCGCTCTGCACTTTATTGCCGGCAGTTGATGCTGTCATTCGCTCCCAGTTTCGCCTTGAGCGTTATCACGAGCGCTCAAACAGTCGATAGCTGATGCATCAGCAGTTATTTCTTAAATTGGCTCACAAGGCTGCATCCGCTCCTCCTCATTTCTTCTCCCCCCTCTCCTCTGTCTGTCTGCTCCCTGCTCACCTCCTCTTCCTCTCCAAACACCCTGGTGTGTGTGTGTGTGTGTGGGGGGGGGGGGGGGGGGAGTCAGAACAACAGCAGCTAAAACATCAGCAGTGTGTGTTTAAAGGGAAATCGTTTTCATTCTTGAAGCGACACAGAGAAGACGTGACGGAGGGAAGAATGGCAGGTGTGTGTGTTCAGGATAAACAAGGTTTCTGTGACACACACACACACACACACACTGGTCTCACAGATTATTACTGAGACAGCTACACAGCCTGCTTTGAGATTTTCTTTGCTCCCACGCTCTTCATCACAG